CTCTCTCTCTGCTTTCCCCCAGACTCCCTGTTTCCCCAGAAAACGTAGTTAGTAGGCCTAGGTAATTATGCAAAACCCAGACCTAACTAAAAAATAAAAATTGTCACAGTATGTATAAACTCAAGTTAAAATAACACTTTTCATTACTCGTGCAGCACAATCAAGTACCGTATCGTATGTCATTTTAAATGACCCATTAGTATTAGCATGGTAACATCAACGTATTTTTAAAAAATTAGACAGCGACGTTCTCTCAGAAGTTCTTTTGTAGACGTTTATCTATTGATGACCTTTTGACCTCCTTAATTCGGCAATATGAGATTTTCGGGTCGATTGCAGTCGAGACGGCCCGAGTGGAGTTCCATGTAAATGTTTCGTACGGAAAAAAAAATCGCGAACAACCAACCAATAGTCAGTATATTGGTGGCGCTGTTGCGATAGTTTTTTTTTTTCTTCTTGTGTTTGTTTTCGCTCCAACACGTTTCGGTCCCACATGGCACGAATAGAAAATGCTGTTGAAATTACTGTATGTGAAGACAGTGGTTTTGTGGCGTATGAACGTGACTTAGAAAAAGATAATATAATTATAACAGACACAAAGCGTGTTTCTATTTATTGTGTAAGTACATATTATATATACTCCAGTTACTAAGCCTACAAGGCTAGGCCCAAGCAAGCCCAGGCAGGTCGGATTTCGAATTGTACACTCGGCTTGCATGCGGCATTTTGACCTAGCATGGGCTTGGTCGAACAGTGCATAGGTAGGCCTAAGCCTCAACTATGGGGTAAGCCAGAACTGGACCAGATTTGTTCTCCTATCTGAGTCCACTGTATTGGAATCATCAGTTACTTAACAAATGTGTGTTAAAAAAAAAACGAAGTGTCTATGGTATGCTTACGCCGAGTCGTATGCATTAGTCATAGGCTATGCTTACGCCGATCTATTGAGCATGCGCACGGGTGGCGTAAGCATTATTTCGAGGCTATGCTTACGCCGATCTATTACTGAGCATGCACAGTGCTGGCGTAAGCATTATATAGTGACTATGCTTACGCGGATTGCTAGTCAACGTAAATAGTCAACTCGTTGATCTGCTTACTATTTCACGCTGTTAAGGCATGAGCTTTGTCTAGTCCACAGTTTTCCAGAAGAACAGGCATCGTCATGAACTGAGGCAGACATATTAGTACATTCCTACACGAGGACCCAATTCTAGCTTACCTAGTTTCTGTAGCACTTGCCTATTTAGCCTGCCTTAATTCACTTTACTCAAGTACTCCATATCATCCTTGTGTAAAAATATTTGACCTGTGCCAAGCTCTTTACTTTCCTCATGAGTGCCGTCTGTTCATTGTGATACAGTACTTCATTGTTAGATAGGCCTATCTACCCCAATTTATGTTGATATTTATACAATACTATATCTGAAATAATAATGACAATGTATCTATGTATGATGTGTAGAATGTTGGAGATGACCTGCCTGCTGCAGTGATATTCTGATTTTTAATCATTGTCCTGTACATTACAGTACATATTTAAAAAGCGAAATCAAAGGGTGCTCTTATCTCGATCCCTCACCCGGACCTTTCCAACATCTCTTGATCCGTGTCCCTATAAAATTCTTAATTTTCCTATTATGAACAAGTACGCATACAATAATTACAAGAGAGCGTGACACAGTTTCAATCCAATTTTGTTATTAATATACAAAAACACTGTAGTATATTTCGGTTTAAGCACCAAGGTTTCTAACAACTGAAATGTTTGAAAGGAAACTCTCTTAAAAAATAACTTTCTTTTTCTCTACAAACTAAATTATTCGATGTGCAACAACTGTACCACGAAATATGGGCTGTACTAACTTAGCTCTGATTACTAACATGGTGAGAATATTTGCACATGCTCAATAGGACGTTTTCGTACTCACGAAGCAAGCGGCACCCTTCAAATAGATCTGCGTAAGCATAGCCTATGATTAATGCTTACGACTCAGCTTAAGCATAGACACTTCGTAAAAAAAAATCATCTTGGATTCTTGTTTGGATCCAAGTAATAGGCATGACAGAAACCATGACGTCACTCACTGTAATTGGGTTCTAATTGATGATAAGCGATTTTGCAGAGGGAAAACACAGAGGCTTTGTAAATCTATTTAAAATGTCTGATAGGATAATTCGATGTTTTAGAGGTCAAAAATCATTTGCATATCTCAATATTTGGGTCATGTTTTCGAAAGTTCTTCATTAATCGTCGCATGTCATCTTGTTATTGTTTTGAAAATACCTGTCGAATAAAAGTCGTTTTTTTTAGCAAATTGTAAGTAATACACTAAATTTTATTATTAATACTTTACATGCTTTATTATGTATCTAAGAATGTATATACCAAATATTAACGTAATACGATAAACCGCAGTAGCATTTCTTTAGACCGCAAAACTGACACTTAACTGCTGCCTGACGCTAGGCCCACTCTGGATAAACTGTACTTGCATGAATAAGGAAAATAGTGATTTTTTTTTATTAAAAAAATACTAAAATTTTATATATAACAATCAGTTGACTGATGATATTATATTAATACCATAAATAATTGCACTGATTTTGTATAAATAAGATTCAATTCAGTCAACATATTGGTACTAATTGAATAAATTGAAAAACACAGAATATTGTAAACAATAACAAGCATGGTTAAAATACTGTAGGCCTAACCTACTAAAAACTGTACTTGCCTTTAAAATTTGCTTTATGTGTACCTGCCTGGGAATTGGTGGTGGCCACTGGAAACATCTGGTGGTAGCAAAAAAATAAAACTAAATAAATGTGTGTTCGTTAGCCTACAATAAAAACTCTAATTAATAGGCCTAGGGTTAAACAGGCCCAGATTTAATAAATGCCTATTCGTTGTATGAACGATAGGTTCACATGACCAAATTAGGGATAGGTCATGAATATTCAGTGATATCTTTAAATTTACGGTATTACTGGTTGATTAAAAACCATTAAAAATTCAAAGTGGGTGACGTGTTTGCAGGTGGGTTTTAAATATAGTGCGCCCTCTATAGTTTTTGCGTGCCTCAATATCAGACTTTTTGTCCACTATGAAGATACCGTGTACAGTGAAAATAAATGATGGATGAAAACAAAACAAATGTGTGTGACCTTTCTTTGATTTTAATCTGCATATTAATGTATGACATCATTGTTTACGCATAAGTTAAAATAATGTGGACCCATTTTCCTAAAAGTTCACACATTTTATGCGAAAATACAAAAAATCTAGACCCATTTTCTTAAAATTTTACCAATTTTAGGCTAAATATGAGAAACCTACACCCATTTTTCAAAAAGTGGACCCATTTTATGTATGAAATTGCATAATTTGGACCCCTTTTGCAAAATGTGGACCCCATTCTTTGTGGACCCATTATTAGAAAAATTGTGTGGGACTGTCCCAATAGCTGGCTATGGCATTGGTTCTCAACTATATTGCAATAAGGGCCAAATTGTTCATTGAATAAATTTGAAGGGCCAGTACCCCTCCGAAATTATTGAAATTATAAGCCGCTAGATGCTCATACAGGACATCTTGACCTAAGAAAGTTACCTTTATGTTTGGTATGGAAAAGTCAAAATGTTATATTTCACACAGTGTGTCATCAGTAATACCAAGGTAATAGAGTATTTGCAATATCCACATGAAAATCAGGTGTGAGTAAAACCTCTGTGCGAGAGGCCAAAAGTTGGTGAGATTTCTTTTCTGTGCTGTTTGCCGCTATAGTTCTTCTAATTTGATTGATTAAATCGCTACAATTTGTGGGACAATAGGCTTAATGTAGTCGGCAAAACAGAATGCAAAATTATTAAGGTTAGGAATCCAGCCCCAATGTTAACGGAATATATTATTTTCGGCTTGTTCTCGCGGACCGCATAACACGCACTCGCGGGCCGGAGATGGCCTGCGGACCGCCAGTTGAGAACCCCTGGGTTACTGTAGGGTTACATAACATAATATTGAGAAGATATTTGGCCTCAGCTGCATACCTGTAGTCCATTGATCGCATTTGATTCATTCTTTGTTTAGATGGTGGATAAAGAAACTGTCTGTAGAGGCCCAGCCTCTATTTTGTTTTCACCTAGAGTACTACTAATATTAATACACTTTTACTTAATAATATGTGAATGTATTGTAATTTGATTAAATTGTTTCACCTCTCAGCTAACAGATCATAAATGCATCCAGAGCTGGTTTGTGCGACAGAATTCGCCTTTCACATCACAGGCCGTTTATGATGTTGAAAGTCAAAGTTATGTTGCGGTTAAAAAAAACAAGGTAAATACTTTTCCAGTTAATGGAAATATGAGCTTCTTTTCGAGATGGGCATCTTTTTGAGGCTACTTTTACAAACTAAAAAGGTGGGGGGCTTCAATTCGAGATGGGTTACTTCTCTACTGTATAAATATTTTTTGATTTATTGATTTTCTGTTTGGATAAGTAGGCCTTCCGATCCAAAAATTTTGATTGAGTGTGTATTGTATGCAGCTTAAGCTAAAAGTGAGATAATAATTACTGTATTTCTATTGTTTTTTTATATTTTTATTATCAATTGAAAATATTTGTTTTTAGCTTCGATGAGGAGCTCTAATATCTAGCTGATTGATTGATCTTTTTTGCTGATTGGTAATTATAGTAATAAATCTTTTTAGTGTGGGCGGCCGTTAGGGCCAATATACTCTACAGTACTGTCTTGGTTATACTGCCCTCATCGGAGCGTTCGGGATTACGAGACCTTGTATTTTTAATGATATAATTTTTTAATTACATTTTTTATGTGTTATTATTTTAATTATTTTTTGTATTTAATCTTTTAAAATGCAAAATATTCACACCATTATATTTTTTAGAATTTGATTAAATGGTTTAAAGAAACAACCGACTTGACCAAGGTCAAACCAGTGGTGTTGTCCACAGCTGTCTGCTGCCTCCTTCCTCAAGTCAACAGTTCAACGTTGGTTGTTTTTGAAAATGGCGCAGTCGCTGAATTAGAACAAGTTCTTATTGAACCAAAACAAGTCCACCAAAGCACTCTTCCTGACGTTTTCGAACTGAAAGATGTCACAGTTTGTTGCCAGGGGAACCAAATAAAAGTTTATTTTCTGGCACAAAATACTAAGGTTTTTGCAAAATTTTTTTTTCTTATATTTACTGTAATTACATTTTTCACGTCAACATGATGAAAATTTGTTTGTGAACACCTAATTTATTTATAAATTCTACTTTCGAACATTACAGTGGGAAATATTTGAATTGTTGAATGGTCAATTGTGTATGAACTGATTCCCTTTTCCCCCTCAGAAAAACACAGAATTTTTTATGTAGAGAGTAAAGGCCTGTTTATATTTCAACAATAACGATAACGATAAAAAAGCTAGAAAGCAATTGTTCATATAGAAAATAAAAGAAATAAGAGAAGTTTTTGCACTAAAACGATTCGATAAAGATTTATCAGTTATGCGATAACAACATATTTTGACAAATCAAATCAGATGACGTCATATTCATGGAAAAACATTAAAATTGAAGTAGTAGCAACGATTTTATCGTTTTTCCATAATTATGACATCATCTGATTTGATTTGTTAAAATATTTTCTTATCGCATACACGATAAATCGTTATCGAAACGTTCTAATGTAAAAACTTCTCTTATTTCTTTTGTTTTCTATATCAACAATCGCTTTTTAGCCTTTTTATCGTTATCGTTATCGTTGAAGTAAACAGGTCTTAAGGCTTATCAAGTGCGGTAGAGAAAATATATGTTTTTCTAATGTTGTTACTTAATATTATGTTTGTTCTGTAGTAATAATTTTTATTCCTTATTCAGGATACAGTGTGGAGTGTGTTTATTTCAGAGCATGGGAGTGAAAGCCTAGGACAGCAAATAGCTTTGCAGAATCCAGACAAAGATGCTTCTCCAGTTCATTACAGCTTCTTAACATTAGAGGGCAGTGTTCGTTTAATAACAATATGTAAGTTCTACAAAAGGAATTTTATAAAAATTTTTTAAAACATGGTAAATAAACAGTCATTTTACAAGTATTTTCTAGCATTGACTTTCATATTCATTATTTTTCCAGGGAGCAACGGGGATGTATGCCTTTCAGTAATTCCATTCTTTACAACAGAAGATCATTTGAAATGTCGCCCTCTCTTGACTGTTAAATCGCATACAGCGGTAACGTGGTTAGGAGAAAATTACTTTGCAATTGCTGGTGTGAAAGGATTAGATAAAAATAAGCCCGATACAAGTAAGTGCCGAACTTAAAAAAAAAACATAAACAATTGTTCTGTGTTTTGAGTTTTTAAATGCACTGAACTCTTGATTCACAAAAGTAGTAAGGCGTGATCTTGTTTACCATTATTACTTGTATATATACTTAGCAAAGCATATTTTTGAGTGATCCTCAGTTGGAGGATGGGGAAGAGGAATTTTTATTCAGCAAAAGGGTGCATGGGCGACGCCAGAAATTCCCCGACGAGGGTTCCAAGCTGCCCGACAAGCGATCCACACCCCCACCCCCCCTCGGAGGAAAAAAGTGTTTATTATGGTATTCATTATTTAAGTAGGATAATATAGAAAACCATGCAAGTTAAGAGGCCCCCTGTTGGGGGTACTAACCACCTGTTGGCGGTACGAGCACCCTGTCGGAGAAGATTTGGTGCTACCACTGCATATGATTTTGATAGTATACAACCCCTTGCACATACGGTAGCACTGCTCGCACTAAACAGTTTTTAATCTCTAAAATTTGACAGGTAAGAATTGCTGGAAATTCCCCAATAGGGGGTTGAAGTGGGGGTTCAGAGGTCCTTTGCCCTCCTGGAACCCCTGTTAGTGCCGCCCCTAAAAGAGTGGAAGGAAAAGTAAGCTTTTATTGGCAAACAATTTAAGTATTTTTGGTAGAGATGTTTAGCTGTAAATTGTGCTTGAGAATCGATGTGGAAGCGGTTTGGCTCACCAGGAACGTTGCGCTTTCTCAACCTCGAGGTCGCGGTTTTAATTCCTCGCTGTGTATTTCGCTTGTGTCCTTGATCAAGGCACCTTATCTGCATTGCTTTTTTTCTCCCAGGAGTATAAATAGATACCTTGTGGGGTTGCCTGTTCCTGCGCTGATTACCAGCAGTAACACTTAAAGCATGTGGACCCAATGACCAGGGAAAAGAACTGCACATTATAACCTCAAAGAAGAGAGGCATTATAAATACCTATACCAGTACCACTACCATGAATATTAAAATGATAGCAATATAAATGAAATTTTATTATTATTTATCTTTTTATTCAATCATCAGGGTTTCTTACGATATGGGATTCAAAGTTTGGCAGCCTTCAGGCCAAGAGGGAGTTGCCAGTTACGAGAAGAGACACCCAAATAACAAGCATCTATGCCACGGAAGAATCCATTCTCTTGAGGAGGGATGCTTTAATTGTTGCATACAAATTTACATGCCCAGAAGCCAGCTTAGCCTCAGCTCTTGGTTGCCTTAGAAACCAGGAAATACAGAATTCTGTTACAGTGCAGGCAAATTGGAAACCACATGCAATGGTAAATATAATTTGTACTCTACAGCATGTTTTTGAATATATGTTATGTTTATATAAGAAAAAGTATATAAACCCAAAGTATAGATTACAACCATTATATTTTTCTTTTCATATTATACAGATAATTTAATACATCTATTTCAGTATTTACTTTGTCTTCTAACCCATTCTTTTCCTCAAAATATAATTAAATACAGTATTAAATCTTTTTAGAAAGCAGTAGAAAATATTACTATGAAAGAAAACTTACTGAAAGAAGCAATGAACAAAGACAAGGTAAGTCTTAAAACTGTATTTTTATACATCATAAAAAAAAAGAACTGAGTAGTTGTTACAGTAAATTTTTAGTTTTATGTAATGCCAAATTATTGGAGAGCAAGTGAGTGTAGCAGTAAGGGATTGGACTACATGTAAGTTTGAGACCTGCCAATGTTGTACTTATTTGTGTCTTTTACTTGATTAAATGCTCTGCTTTGAATAGATGCCCCCATTCCATACACCAGAGCCCCATTTGGAATAAATACCTCCCTTGAATAAATGCCCCGGCACGTTTAATTTTTCCTTGAATAAATGCGTCCTAAATGACTAAACAAAACTAAAGAAAGCAACATCATTCTCAACACATTCCATTATTTTTTTTACTCCAGTAAAATTACATTTTTTTAACCTGGTTGGGATCAGCAAGTCTGTTATGATCACGCAATACTGTAACATGTTGTAAAGGTAATTATGTTTACAGTGAAATTAAGGGGCGATTATAGAGTATATTCGTATCAATTTTACTACAAAAAAAAAGAAATGCCCCCCCCCCCTCGAATAAACGACACCCTTGAATAGACGTCCCTTAAAGAACCCTTCTCAACAATATATGCCATGGGGCGTTTTATTTCGAATAAATGTGGTGAATATTGTCATTTAAATGGTTCAGTGAACAAATATCAACAAGATTGATGTATAGTAGTTATTATTGTTAATATTTTATTATTTGATATACAGATTTAACATGGAATGTTAAATATTATTTCGAATAAATGTGGTGAATATTGTCATTTAAATGGTCGAAATGCCTCCATTCCATGTGAAATCTTGTATGTCAAATATGACCCTCCATAAATTCAGTGGTTTCATTACTAATCTTAAAGCATTATCTTTATTATTGATGTTATTGTATTATGACAGTGTCCAACTGAGGAAAAATTTGCCTGTGCTTGCAAGAACCTGTTGGGACATTTGAATGCAGAGAAATTCCCTGATTCCTGTTACCTGGCATCTCTGCTCCAGTTTGTTGCCAACAGGTGTACAGAGGAGAAGCAATTCTGGCCAAAACAAACCCTTTTGGAAATTATAGAATTTTGTAACATTTCAGCAAGGTGAGATAATAGATATTGTTTGTGAAAGGTGGATGAGTAAAGGCCAGAGGTTACAATCATAATAGTTGGTCATTTCTTGTTAAGTTGTGTATTAATATGCTAGTAAAGATTTGTTGTGATTTTTTTATTTTTCTATTGTTGTAAAGTGCATTAGAGCCTTTTATAAATAACGGCAGTATTCTTATTATGATTTTGTTTGTTCATGGTTGCTTTGCTTCGGCTGGTGGTACTACTGCTTCTACTGCTTTTACTAATGCTGCTACTTCTGTTCAGTTAAGCCCCTTACATTATGGCTGTGTATTAATGTGTTAGTAATGGCTTATACTTTTTCTCTTTTTTTTTCTATCGCTGTAAAGTGCAGTCAGCCCTTTATAGAATGTGCTATAAAGTGTTCCAATATTCTCATTACCAATATTGTGGTTGCTGCTACTATTGCTGTGTCTACAGTTGTTAATGCTGCTGCTTCTAATGCTGCTGCTTCTGTTACTGTTACTTTTATATATGTTTTTATATATGCACTTTAACGTTGATTAAGATAGCAGGAGCTATCGAAATATCCGTTTGATTTTGTTATAGCTTAATAAATTTGTGTTCTGCAAGTCAACTTTCAATGATTGTACACCGTTTTTTCATTGCTTTTGCATTTTATTTTACTTGGAGCATACATGCAAACCCACTCTTCAATATGATTATTTTTAATATTGTTTATTCATAATTGTTTAGCTCTTGTAAAGAATTCTTGAACGTTGTACTGGAGAAAGAGGAAACAGAAATTCTGACAGGCTGTCTGAAGAACATGTCGGATGTACCAGAAAAAGTTATAGTGAAGACACTTCAAATTTATCTAAGGTATTGAAAAATTTAAATTTATGCAAGAAAGAGCAAAAGAAATATACATATCATTGATTTATTACATTATGCATGGTGGTTGTAGTTACGCCATGGAGGTATATAGTTGCTGCAGTCTGTGAGTGAAGTGAGCCACCTCTGACTACATTCTGGATAGTAGTGTTTTTTAAAAGTACCAACTAAATAGACCAAACCGTACACCACCCCAAATTTTCAGGTCCCAAATGCGGTCTTAAATTGGAGGGTGAACTATTTTTTTCTAATTGAAGACTAAAGCTGCCAAAGACCATGAAAACCCTATTCCAAACGTTGTCTTTAATTGGAGGGTGAATGGTTGGGCTCTAATGATTGATAATCAAGTTCATATCTAATTTTTAGAAATAACAAAGATAAGTGTTCAGTGGAGTTAATGGATTCATCAGAAGAGGGTACAATCTGTAACCCTTTTAGTCAAGACCTTGCAGAAGCTGTGAATAATGTCTTAAACTGTACTTTCAATGATGTCTTTATGTTGGAACATCTGAAGATTCTTAACCTGGAAGACGTTCTGGTGAGTTTTTAATTTAATTTACAATCAAAATAAAAAAGGAAATTAGGGGCTTGTAATGCCAAAACCAGAAACATTGATAAAAAAAAAATGAACATTTACTTTTCATGTATTATGGCTTCTCTACTAAAGTGTACAATACTGTCACATTCTTATGGTAATTTACTCAGTTTAACATTTAAGGGCAGTACACTAGTTTAGCAAAGCCTCATATAAATATACTGCAGTTTCATTTTTAGCATTTCTTTACCATCTAATAGTTTTTTTCGAACCTGGATATTGCAATTTAATAAATATTAATTAAACATAACAAGGCAAACCTCCACAGGGACTTGAACTCCTGGATGGTTGATGTCATAACCATTAGACCATTTAGGCTATGTAGTAATTCTAAGTACCAGTAGAGACTAAATACCCTTCGTTCTTTAAAATTTCTTATGTCTTAATTGGAATAGCACTAATTTTCAAATAAATGGAATTACTGAATATTGATTTTTAAATGTCTCTATATTTCATATTTAATAACTGAACCTATGATTTTGTGAAGCTTATAATAATAATAATATATAATAATAATAATAATAATATATAATATAATATAATATATATATAATATATGTTGTTTATGGTGATTTTAGGTATTGGTGCAGTATCTATATTTCCTTATAAGTATTTTTGACCACAGTGATGAGGTCAAAGTTGAAATGGTTATCGACTGGTTATGCTTGTTGCTGGACAGCCACTACTCTGCTTTGGTAATCTCCAACAAAGCGAAGACACTTCTTGTAAAACTACACATAGCGGTTGAAAAACAGGTGTGTATAAAGAATGCAAAAATATACAGTATTTATGTTTCTACTAAGTAATAATAATTAATCTTTGATGTAAGTGCACTTTATATCTTTATTATTACTATATTCATAATTATTTCTGAAATATAAATCTGTATGTTTTATATCTCAAAAATCATTTTCTGTCTAAATGTATTGTTTAAAGTATTTTTATTAAATAAAAATAATTTAATGTATATTATTTTTGATTTTTAGCTTTTAAATTTGGATATTGCATATATGCCTAAAATGTAATTTCATGTTTTATTCATCTCGATGGTCATGTTTGTTCTCGTTTGTATGTTATATTTATACATTTTGTGAATACAGTACCATTACAATTCAGCGTTGATGCTATGATGTATTTTATTTGGAATTCAATAAACCATTTACCTATCTATCCATCAAAAAATTTATCTATATGCATGTTTATTTACCTACTTATAGTTTTAACTTTGAATATTGTATAGTATATATATGCCTAAAATTTAATTTAACGTTTTATTCATCTCAGTTATACAGTATTCATATATTTAAAACTATTGTAAATAACATCACACTTTAGCATAGCAATTTTTGATTGAATAATCCATTTAAAAATTTAATTTTATGCCTGTTTTATCCTTTGAGCTGGATTTAGATAAAATAAAAATAATTATAAGTTATTTTTATTTGTTGTAGGTTCAGTTTTCTCGCCAGCTTCAGTCGTTACAAGGCTTACTTTATCCAGTACTCAACTCGACATCATTTACCGGTCAAAATTCAAAACATAATAATGGACTGTATAGCATTGAAGTGGTGAAGCTATTTTAATCGTCGTACCATTAGACAAGAAATAGCTCTTACTAGATCATTGGGTTTATTGGCATATCAGTTGGGGGAACATGCCCCCAACTGAAACCATACTGAGCAAAAAAAATATTTTACATAAATTTTACAAATTGTATACGATGTCAATCATCTTTTTCACCAGCATGTCCGCTTCCCAACTTTCCTGTTGTGTTTCCTTATCAGTGGGTGTTTAGGTTATCTCTCTCGGGCCAGCTGTCCCTGTAAATGATATTACTTGGCCCTGGATGTCACTGCCTCACTCACTGGTGCCACCCCTAAAAGTAAGACAGAGGAACTTTGAAGGGGTGATCACATTTTTAAACAAAATTGCATTCGAAACTCAATACCAAAATCGGTTGTAATTTATATCCCTTTTATAGCAAAAAGTGATTAAAAAGTATGAGATTATTATACAATGTTGTGTGTGAATAAACTGCTCATTTTTTTGTGTACAGTATTGTAGAATGTGCTAGTATGTAGTGTGTCAGTACAATTTCAGTTGAAGTCATTGATATCTGCAAAACAAACAATGGAAATGAATACCATACACACATGTACACATAGTTCCTATTCGAGCAGTTATTATTATTTATTTACTTATTTGTTTATATATATATTGTGTTTACGATGCTATACAGCAACCCTAATTTGAATATTATTTACTGATTACAAAGCTGCATTCTTAGACTGGGTTCCACTCCCTAAACTTTTCTCGATCAGTGAAAAAGCTTGAAAAAATTCGACTTTAGCACCATTGGCGTTTAATATTACTTATTTGCTTGGCGTTTCATAGTATACTTTTTCGTCTAATTCTCATCCCAAACTCGGCAACTTTAAAAGTTTCTCGATATATACCGACGCTGGTGGCGCTCTCCGAAATCTGCTAATACTAGGAAAAATCAATAATTAGAGACTTGTGGCAAATCTACTGCGTTCTGTAAGCTTTTCTGACTTAACTTTAACTCCACCATTTATGTGGGTTTCAGTCAGTTTTATGAGAGAAATTGCCTGGTGGTTAGATCTGCGCATATACCGTAAGGTCTCTGTGGTCTAATGGCGTGATACTTGGCAGGTCCGAATCCTGCCAGGGACATTTTTTTGTATACATTGAAAGCAAGGAACTTTTCTTTAAAGGACTATGCTCGATACGATTATAACATCATGTTCCTATTCTAGCACTGATAAGATATATAAAAGGGCATACTCGATCTTTGCAGAGTATACTTGTTCCGGTAGTCATTGACAATAAGAAAATGGGAAATAAAATTGTCTTGGATATTTACTTTGGCAAGTGTGTACGAACCCGGAGATTAATTTAATTGTGTCTATGGCAGTAATAGCATTCGATACTAGGCATGGAAATATATAGATACGGACCCTATATTATAGAAACTGTTGAAATTAAGGTTAAAAAAACGACTCTAACAATCACCTTGTAAACTTCTATAAATGGAAATTAATTGTACAAGCGGAACCATGTATAATACAGTACCTGTTTTGCATACGTTACTGTTATGATAATGAAGCTATTTGTTTGTAAGTATGCTATAGCTGCTATCGATGAAAATGTTAATCGTGCGCTTTTTAAATCCAAGTGTGTTCCAAAAGTTTCTAACGCCCGAATTCTTAAAACAAACTTTAGTCGAACTTCAAACTAGAACTTCATTTAGTGCTGGTTCCAACTTCAACTGCAATTTGTATTCACAAACAACGTAGTCAAAGTTTTAACTACGACTAAATCAAATCCTAGTTTTAGTTCAACTGAAGACGACTGGCAAGGCACGACTATCAAACTAACCAATGAAAAGGGCTAACTTTAATAGCAGACGAAATTTTCTTGCAAATCAGGAACTATCGCATGTGGCTAGCAAAACATGTTCTCCTTCTGGAAGTTAAACTTGATGTCTTTTTTTTTTTAACACACCGAAGATATTTCAAAACGTTTAATTCTAATAATAATAGTAATTATAATAATAATTGTAATATATAATAATATTTTAAGACTCGACTTTTTGTACTAGGCCCTGTGGGAGAACAGTAGATAGGCCTATGCTACTGAACAGGTTTTTCCCAGTATAAAGAATAAAGAAATAAATAATAAAAGAAGAGAAAATACAATGTATCTGCCTACCTATCATTGGCTTCTTCATATCCCCAACTGGATTTCTTAACTCGAGCCAAGTGTAATAGTGGTCTTGCAGAAGTCCGTTTTTGGTTGGAGTAAAATCCAACTGTTGCAACTGTTTAAGCAAGGAGGTATATTTATACCTCCTTGGTTTAAGTAGTTCATATATTTGGTTTGTGGGGAGGATTTTTCGTGCAGTGGCTGCAATCGGCATGTTAACTTAGTCCATCTAACACAGTGTTTCAAAAAGAACATGTATTCATCTCTTATATTATTGGCCATGTTTTCAGTTTCTATGATTTTCCATATCCCGGGCTTGATAAACTTGTCAATTTCATTTTACATCTTTGTATGGTGTCTACGCTTCTTTACTGGGTTCACATTGTTATCCATCATGTTGGATATTCCAATTCTATTGCGCTGTCAAAAACTTTGTTTCATCCTTTTCAATGTCCGACAACTTCAGATCATTTTGTGGGATTTCTTCACCAGGTAAAGTTATGGACAGTGTAACCATGTAGGTATTATTGTGTAGCCGACACTACGGTAGACAGTGGAGCGAATAAATTCTCTCTGGGTTTTTCTGTAGAATGGCCGGCTGCAAGTTTGAATAATGCATAATAATCGAAGTTTTAATCTCTCAACAGCCGGCCATGTGAAACTTTGTAGTCCAGTCAGGTCCACCATCTGACAGCAAAAACCATGCAGATTCTTCATTCTTCGCACCAAATTCAGTCAGTATTTTGTGCAAGTTATTCGCGTGCGTCTGTGTATTCGATGCATGAAACTTGCATGCTCTGTTAAACCATAGAGAAAACAGTTAAACATGACGTGGGTCCTGTACGGCCAAATTGTTCTCTTAAATTTGTCTGTGTAAAACCGGTGATCGACGTTTGAATTGATTGGTGTTGGGGACACAAACACCTCAATCTCGTAGTCTTACGTCGCATAATCATTCTTTCTTCGCTTCTTGAGAGCGTTCATGCGATTTCTTTTGTTTCGTTTTCAAATCAAATATCCCGGGGGAACAATTTTTGAGTCTGAATACGGAAAACAGTGGTCAAAGTAGTCGGGCATTCATCCTCTAAAAGCGGTTAATTTGGTGGTACCGGTTAACTGCCAATATACCAACATTTACATTGGTTTTGTCATCGCATGAAATTTTTCAAGCAATCTTCTTTATAAAATTCAATGCCTTATTGAGCATTGAGATTTGCAAGCGGCAAAATATAAGTATTTTGTTCTCTCCAAACAGCAGGGTGTATTGGATTTTCGGGGTACTCCCGCTTTGACAAATCTTTTTAGCGTTTCCCGCTAATCGCTTTCTGTCGCGGTGCGCTCATCAAACGGTGAACTGTATTTTGGCTTATACCGTCCTCTTTCAGGTTTTCAACTATTTCTTTCATATGATCGGTTATTTGTTGCAAGTAACACCACAACTTGTAGCAGACGAATATCGTCGTCTTACCTTGTAGAAACTCATTGGCTGTTTCCACTAAAATCGAAAATTGTTCATGTTTAGCTGGCCTTCCAACTGTTGCTTTTCCTTACCCGCTGCCTTGCCTTTTGCTGCATTGGCTTTTGCATACTTGATGATATCAGCAACGACGGCCTTTGTTAATCAAATCAGCATCGAGTTCAATTTCAATTCAATTTCAGTTAACTTTATTCCAATATCAATATAAACAATACAATTATCAGTAAAAGAAATACAATGCGGTAGCAGATAAAGGAATGGGTTACAAAATAAGCAAGAAAAATGTTTCCTGGTCTTAGCTTACACGGAGTTTCATTAATATCATACTTTAATTGAACAACTATTAAATAGTATTTTGTATTTTCAGACTGACGGTATCGGCCCATCGGGATGTACAGAGCGGCTGACCATCAGAATCAGAATTTTATTTTCCACCTCATATAAAAACACAATTACAATAAGCATAGTAGGAAACCAACATCGCCGAGATATGAGTGGGGGAGGCTAAATAAGTTACCGGAGGCTGACAAAGGCTTTAAAATAACGCATGCGCAAAATATGTTCTATAGAGATGGTTATGAATAATTCATGACATTTTACCAAATTATCCTACGAAAATAAAGGTGGCTCAGGTTTGACACGGCGTGTTTACAAAAGGGAAAATGCAGCCGGGGCGGTATCGCTACAAAACCAAAAATCATTGTAAATCTACATGTGTTCCTTAAATTATACATCAGTCGTTGAAACAGAAAATTATGAGACTATAGAACACTGTTTTTTTTTTTATCTCCCCGACGAATTGTTGTTTTTCTCCCCGTCGGGGGAGAGGGTGGTGGCCTGGCCCCCGGTCCCCACTGGCGCCACCCCTGGGGCAGGAAGTTTCTCCGGTGTATTGGTCCATTCAGTCTCCTGTTGTTAAATGGATATTCCACGTAGGACAGTTCACCGATTGGCATATCCTTGGCGCTCGTGCCTAAATAAATGAAATAAAATTTAAAAAAAAGAAAAACTACTAATTCATACTTACTATTTAGCGCCTTCTATTTATCCCTAATTTGTTAAAATGTATAATGAAATTGAGATCAGTTGTGCATGTTATTGTGATTATCTTATTGCTGATTAATCTCCACTGTAAATTGGTGTCGTAATTAACTACTGAATATTCATATTTACTATGTAGTGCTCTCAATTTTATCCCTATGTTTTGAATTTATAAAATATGGTATAAGACCAGTTGTGCATGTTTTGTGATTGTCTTATTGCTGATTAATTTCCAGTCAATTATAGTAATTAACTACTACAGTATTCATATTCAGTAGTTAATGTTTGTAATCAAAATCAGTTATGTAAAATATTAAATTAAACGAAAGATTGTACCGAGTAACAAACAACACTGAACCTTTCACTACTGAATCTTGTTGACAAACACAGATGGAATATGTTGGGGCATATCAGGCTCAATAAAAACTCTCCACCACTTTGTGCGTCGAATTTTGCTTTTAACTGCTCTAATTTGTTCGCTGGACATCGTGGTAGGCACCAAAATAAACCTTTTCAAAACAACAATTAATGGTGTGTCTGATCGCGGCGACACAGTTGAACTTGATAGCTTAAGAGACGTTGCCTCAAATAGTTTCAAATGGTCAAAACCGTTCCTTAATGTTTTAGTAAATAAAGGTTAGTCTCATCTAAATATTATTATAAAAATAAGAAAAGAATTTTGTTATTTGTGTTAATTTATAAGAACATTTTTATTTATATTTTATTATAAAAATTGAGAGTTCATTCCATTCGGTTTTTGAAAAAAAAAAAAAAATATATATATATATATATATATATATTCATATTTCAACAGTATTAAAAGGTGTGTTGGAAGACATCAAACCAATCATATGTCTTCAATTACTAAGCGATTTAAGTTCTAGAAAATTTAAGTTTACTGGTTCCAACGATTTAAATATTTTAAGAGATATCACAAAATATAAAAATAAGTGGTATGATCTGTGTTAGTTTTGATTTGTTAACTGCATCACACAGGACTTAAACAGAAACAGTACAGTATATAATAAAAGAATGTAGGAAACGAATACCATGTATAGACTTTAGAAACACTTCATTGGAGAAAACCAATATTTCGACCTATCCTTAGGTGTCTTTATCAAGATATACCTTGATACATATATATAAATCAGGGGAGGGATCGAGATAATACTACCCAATTATTTTGTTCTAGACGCCAGAAAATAACCCATGAGGCGTTTTGGGCGATCAATTTTTTCTTTTTCTTTCTTTCTTCACAATATTAAGGGAAATGTGGGGAAATGGGGTAATATGTCTAAAACAACCAAATACCAAGAACTAAACATTTGATTTAGAGCGTGGCTAAGGATGGATGTTTGCAAATGAGACGCAAACAAATAACACTCCTAAATGGGAAAAAAAAAATAGAAAAGAAAAGAAAAGAAAAGAGAAGAGAAAGAAGAAAAACAATTAAAGAATAATATATGCAACAACAATAACAAACCTGTCTCTTATACACATCTAATGTATTTTCCCCTTGTAATATACAATAGAACCCTCTTTGGGACACTTTTTCAGCCATGAAACGAGCGATAACTATATCTTGTAGTTGTAAATCTAGGGACAACCCCTATTCAGAGAACATCCCTATTATGGGGCCTTTATTTAGTCCTTAATAGGGGTTCTACTGTATTCGCTCTTGGCAATCCTTGGCCCAAAGACGTGCCTATAAAAGCAAATAAATAGCAAGTCCTACAAAATAGACCGTTCCAATTAGCCCGTGGATTTTGTTGCTAACGTCCACTAATAATACGAGAGCCGTGTGGTTATAAATTTGTGTTCTTCATGTAACATACGATTATTTCTGGTCCCGTCTATCGAATAACACGTTCTGGTTAGGCCTAGTCAGTTTGATTGACACTCTAAAAAAGTCCATAAACCCTTGAAGATAATATCTCACTTCAGCAGAAAATATGGACTTTTCCGCCGCTAAGCCCCGCCCCATGGATATTGTTGCTAAGGTCCTACAAAACACGTGTGTTTGTTGGACACCCGCGTATTCCTGGCACTGTTCTGATTGGTTAAGTTTGATTGACACTCTAGAAAATTTATGTGAACTTCTCTAGCTGTCTCCTTGTCTCGATGCCTTCATACAATTTCAGTGACTCGTATATCCTGATCAAATTGAATAGAAACCGCGTTAAAACAGAAAAAAACAATATGAACAATAAGAGAGGGACCAGATGGATCGAAAACAGTGGCACTGTGGACGAAAAAAATAATTTCAATTACTGAAAACATGTAATTTTTAAAAATCGAATGTTACGACATCATAGCAAAAAGAAAAGGGAACTATTAAACTAGTTTTAATATCAATGTTTGTTGGAACAGACACGTGGTCAACAACAGAAAATTGATAAAAATTTGTAAAATTGGAACAGAAAATTGAGAACAGTTCAAAGGGAACTTATTTCAGCCCCTGTCGTTGTGGAATGATGTGAACATGCATCTACCATGAAGCGCCTCTTTAATTACGGCTGCTAGGTAGTCACGGACCACGCCCATACGTAATGGACCTTTCCGCTAAGCTCCGCCCCTTGGATATTGTTGCTAAGGTCTCACAAGACGACAGTGTTAAAACATACACGAACACGTGCGTTTGTGGGACAACACGTGTGTTTGTAAGACGCGCGCGTATTCCTAGCGCTGTTCTGATTAGTCAGTTGTTAAGTTTGATTGACACTCCGGAAAGGTCTATTCAGCACAATGACGCTGCAACTTATGGGTTATTCTCCTACCTTTACTTTTACCTTTCACATGGGCCTCCGCCCCTTCGTTACGCCACTGCCTAAATATGGTCATGATGAAACCACATCATGACCATATATAGGTACATCATGACTCTAATAGGCATGCAACAGTTTTTAAAATTTCATATTAGTCTTTACTGATTGTGCCGCCTCATTCTTACCTATCGGCCCCATATTGTAACTGGAAATATTCACAAGCGCAAGGAAGGCATTATATCCAAACCATGAATAATCCATGATCTAAAAGAAAAAAGTATATCTAGTTATTATTACAGTGTACTGTTAAATTAATAAATTATATTTGTTATACAAAAAGTTAAATAATTTCATTTTAATAAATAGGCCTATTATATTTGTTTATATTGTATTTATTTAGTTATTTAATTTGCAATTATTATCTGACACAATTCTCAGACATTGTACAAGATTGTTCGTAAATTATTTCATTTTTTGCAGCATCCATTATCCTGTATGTATCAAGTTCACATCTGATTATTTTAAGTTTATATCTGAATATCAGGCATGGTCGTACATGAATTGAAACTATTCCCCCTTATTTGCTGTTTATTCGGATCGGTTTGGTTTCCCAACCTCGAGGTCGGGGTTTCAATCCCTCGCTGTGCATTTCGCTTGTGTCCTTGATCAAGACACTCTCTCTGCATTTCTTCTCTCCACCCAGGAGTATGGGTACCTGGTGGGGTTGCCTGCTGCCGCTGCAGCAGCAACAATTAGCATGTGGACCCAATGACTAGGGAAAGGAACTGCGCTTTATAACCGCAAGGAAGAGGCGCATTTTAAATGCCCGTACCAGTACCATGAGTTAAGCTCTGTCCGAATTACAGTATAACATTTTCTTTGACAAAAAAACAAAACAAAACTGCTGTATATGACCATGATGTGCCTATTTATGGTCATGGTGTGATGTCACCATGATGACCGTGGCATGTCACATGTTTTTGTCAAATAAAATTTGATAGTCTGGACGGGGCTTAAGATAGTACAATAAGTGGACGCTAGAACCGAATCACTCATGCGTGACCGGGCGTCCTACGGTCTCTGCATACGTCATAGAGCTATTAAACAACATACTTATTATATCTCTATGGTATACGTAGATTTCACCAAATTGGATATAACGCGACGAGGGGAACTTAACGTTTTCGCATGCGCAGATGACTTTTAGTGAAGTCAATACGTTTTACGTCCTAACGTACAGTTGTCGTGCAATCGTTAGCTTTCTTCTTCAAATACATTACCTTATCGTAGTAAAACTTCAGGAGAGCCGTGGTCGAAGTCTTCACATTCATAGAGCCACATGAACCATGAGCACTTAAAAAAAGTATGTATACATATGAGTTATTATTATTAATACATTCATCTTTCTCCCTACATTAATTTAGTAATAGAACTTATAGCAGGACATAGTAAAAACATTATATCGATTTAATTTGTTTTTTATAAGTTTATATATAAAATAGATTTGGAAAAAACGTATTTAGTTGTTTAATTTCATTTAGAAAAAAAAAATCTTTCTTTCTTTTTTCTTTTTTTTTTTTAAATATGATTTTGAAATCCAATACCAGACATAGCTGTTCACTCACTAATCAAGAAGCGGGTTAAAATTTATTAGCAGCCGGCCACAAAATCCACAATATTAAGGGAAATGTGGGGAAATGGGGTAATATGTCTAAAACAACCAAATACCAAGAACTAAACATTTGATTTAGAGCGTGGCTAAGGATGGATGTTTGCAAATGAGACGCAAACAAATAACACTCCTAAATGGGAAAAAAAATAGAAAAGAAAAGAAAAGAAAAGAGAAGAGAAAGAAGAAAAACAATTAAAGAATAATATATGCAACAACAATAACAAACAAGTTACAGTAACAAATAGCAAAGAGCAATACAAACAAAAAGGGTGTACAAACACGAACAAGCACCTCTACGACTCTGGATCGTACTAGAACGTTTTTATACGTCACAGTTCCCAAGTACAGGTTCAATCTTCAATTCCACTTGGTACCAGTATCAACATGAATTGAACGGTAGAACGTTTAGTTCCACTCAACACTAGAAACCTACAAATTCAAATTAGACGTTACCGCACAAATAACAATAACATCGGACTAATGCATGCAGATAAAATACTCATGTTTAACATATAAATGGTTTTATCCTTTCTTTCCAATAAGAAATATGCATACTAATAACTCAGATAGAAATTAACATCCATTACATTAAATTCATGATAAACATATTAACATATACTCAATGTGAAAGACTTGGCATTCATTAGCATTCTGATAAACATATAATAAATCTATATTCGTGAGCGTCTTATTTGTGGCATAACATATATACTGTCTCTTATACACATCTAGATGTGTATAAGAGACAGTTATTACAGTGTACTGTTAAATTAATAAATTATATTTGTTATACAAAAAGTTAAATAATTTCATTTTAATAAATAGGCCTATTATATTTGTTTATATTGTATTTATTTAGTTATTTAATTTGCAATTATTATCTGACACAATTCTCAGACATTGTACAAGATTGTTCGTAAATTATTTCATTTTTGCAGCATCCATTATCCTGTATGTATCAAGTTCACATCTGATTATTTTAAGTTTATATCTGAATATCAGGCATGGTCGTACATGAATTGAAACTATTCCCCCTTATTTGCTGTTTATTCGGATCGGTTTGGTTTCCCAACCTCGAGGTCGGGGTTTCAATCCCTCGCTGTGCATTTCGCTTGTGTCCTTGATCAAGACACTCTCTGCATTTCTTCTCTCCACCCAGGAGTATGGGTACCTGG